TCTTTTCCTTCCTTCCCTCCCTCTCTCCTTCCTTCCTTCCTTCCCACCACCCTCCCTTCTCTATCTACTTTTTCCTCCCTCTCTTTCTCTTATCCTTCCTTCCTTCCTTCCTTCCTTCCTTCCTTCCTTCCTTCCTTCCTTCTTTTATTCCTTCCTTCCTACCTACCTACCTCCTTTCTTTATTTACTTTTTCCTCCCTCTCTTTCTCTTTTCCTCCCCTCCCTCTCTCCTTCGTTCCTTCCTTCCTTCCTTCCCACCTACCTCCCTTCTCTATCTACTTTTTCCTCCCTCTCTTTCTCTTATCCTCCTTCCTTCCTTCCTTCCTTCCTTCCTTCCTTTCTCCGTTTGATCTCTTAATTTCTTAATTAAGAAATTAATCTGCCCGCTGCTGATTAATTTTGCACCGGCCTTTTGGTCACCAATTCTGCCCACCTTCCTTTTCTCTCTGTCTCCCCCCTTCCCCCGTCTCCTTTGCCACCTGGAACACCTTTTCCACGCAGGAAATTCCATACACACACACCCCCCCAACACACACACCCAACACACACATACACTTTTTTGAGTTTGGCTCACCTGGCCAGGCAGGTGGTAATTACAGGCAAAATAAAGGCCCAATTTTTTCTGTTTTGCTGGGCAGGGAGTCACAAATATAGACATTTCTCCCCCCCCCTTCCAGGTTCTTCTGTGGGTGACTCCGGCCTTGGCCCCGTGCCATCTCCACAAGCTATAAGACGCCTTTGGAGTTTTACATTAACTTTTTGTGACACACACACACAGACACACACACACACCCCAACACGCAGTCCTCTAATTTGCGCTGTCCTGGATTTTTAATATTTGTGTTTCTCTGTGCGTTCGAGCGTTGTGTGTCCCGTGCAAACCGTTCCGGGCTGTGCCTTGTGCCCATTTCACAGAGGGGAACAACCGAGGCCAACCCGTTGGAGACTTGCCCAGGGTTCCTTAATTCTGATCAATCAATAAATTAAATGAGTCAAATCAACGGGAGAGTTTAATTTACAAGACTATCCGCCAGGCCTTTTTTGTGAAAGGGAAAACTGAATAGAGGTGGGATTCGGCCCCCCCTCATAGAATTGACCTTTGAACCCTAATTCTCATGACAGGGGAATTCTGGGAGTGGAAGTCCAGAAATCTTCAAGCATGGCTGGCTGGGGAATTCTGGTGGGGGGGGGAACACTAGAAGAGAAAATATAAATAGCTCCAATTCTGGGAGTTGAAGTCCTCGGCCCTTAGTAGATCTTGCATGAACAGGGGGTTGGACTAGATGTCCTCGAGGGACCCCCGACTCTGATTCCATGACATGGATTACAGGAAATAAATGAAAAGCCCTGGGATCCAGAGTGCCTGGCATGGCTTATATGAGCCAGCCGTGTGCTGCAGCTGCCAAAAAGGCCAACACAGTGCTGGGCTGCATTAACAGAGGGAGAGAATCAAGATCACGTGAAGTGTTAATACCACTTTACAAGGCCTTGTAAGGCCAGACTTGGAATGCTGCATCCAGTTTTGGTCACCACGATGTAAAAAAGATGCTGAGACTCTAGAAAGAGTACAGAGAAGAGCAACAAAGACGATGAGGGGACTGGAGGTTAAAACATACGAGGAACGGTTGCTGGAATTGGGTCTGTCTAGTTTAATGAAGAGAAGGACGAGGGGGGACATGATAGCAGTCTTCCAGTATCTCAGGGGCTGCCCCAAAGAAGAGGGAGTCAAGCTATTCTCCAAAGCGCCCGAAGGCAGGACAAGAAGCAACGGAGGGAAACTAATCAAGGAGAGAAGCAACCTGGAACTAAGGAGAAACTTCCTGATAGTCAGAACAATTAACCAGTGGAACCACCTGCCTCCAGAAGCGGTGAATGCTCCAACACTGGAAGTTTTTAAGAAGAGACTGGACAGCCATCTGTCCGAAATGGTGTAGTAGGGTTTCCTGCCTGAGCAGGGGGTTGGACTAGATGACCTTCAAGGCCCCTTCCGAATCTTATTCTTCCTTCCTTCCTTCCTTCCTTCCTTCCTTCCTTCCTTCCTTCCTTCCTTCCTTCCTTCCTTCCTTCCTTCCTCCAACACTGGAGGTTTTTAAGAAGAGACTGGACAGCCATTTGTCTGAAATGCTATAGGTTTCCTGCCTGATCAGGGGGTTGGACTAAATGACCTCCAAGGTCCCTTCCAACTTTATTATTATTATTATTATTATTATTATTATTATTATTATTATTATTATTATTATTATTATTATTATTATCATCATCATCATCATCATCATCATCATCATCATCATCATCATCATCATCATCATCATCATTATTATTATTATTATTATTATTATTATTATTATTATTATTATTATTATTAGTCTTTGGCCTCTCCTGCAGAGCAAAATAATCTCCTGCTGGGCTGTTTGTGTGTGTATGTGTCTCTGTGTGTGTGTGTTAAAAACATTTAGAGGGATTAAAGTCTTTTTCATTTGCAAATCTGCAGGGGCCCTGTGAAACAGCCCCCTTAACTATCTGCTAATGCCTCCCCTTTTCTGGCAGTTTCCTGCAAGGGGGGGGCAGAGGATTGGGAGAGGGCTGCCTCTGTGGGGGGGGGCAGTTGCCCACTTGACAAAGAATGACAGTTCTGCATCCCCCCACCTCGGTGGTTTGGGCTGAGGACCCCTGCAAGAGGCTATGTGTACCCAAAGGGCTGCTGAGCGGGAGAGGGGGGGTGATGGGCCAGGGCCATCAGGAGGAAGAGCCCCCCCCTCTGGGGGCAGCCCCCCCTCCTCATTCCTGGCATATTCAATCTTGGAAGGAGAGAAAGTGGGTTTTTCTAGCCAGCACCCAGCCCTATGGAGAGAGGTGGGACAGCCCCTTCTCCCCCCAGCCCACAAGAGAGGACCAGGGACTCATGGTGGGGCCTAGCAACCCCCCCCAGCAGACCCTTCCCCTGCTCCTCTGACAGAGGACCCCCTCCCCAATCAAACCCACGAGGTATCCCGGGTCCATTTGGGGCCCACATGATCAGAGGACCCTGATCCGTGTTTGCATCTGGCTGGGAAGACCTCACTGGGGAGGGGGTGCCCGCCGGGGGGGGGGGAAATTAGGGGTGGGTGGGATAGACTCAGGAAGCGAGGAGGGAGCGGGTCAAAAAAGAGGATATATATATATAATAAATACCATATTAGATGCTGAGACTCTGGGAAGAGTGCAGAGAAGAGCAACAAAGATGATTAGGGGACTGGAGGCCAAAGCATATAAGGAACGGTTGCTGGAATTGGGGATGTCTAGTTTAAGGAAGAGAAGGACGGGGGGGGGGACAGGATAGCAGTGTTTCAATATTTGAGGGGCTGCCACAAAGAGGAGGGGGTTCAACCTGTTCCACAAAGCACCCGAAGGCAGGACAAGAAGCAACGGATGGAAACTAATCAAAGAGAGAAGCAACCTGGAATTAAGGAGGAATTTCCTGACAGTGAATTAGCCAGTGGAACTACTTGCCTCAAGAAGTTGTGGGTGCTCCATCACTGGAGGTTTTTAAGAAGAGATTGGATAAACATTTGTCCGGAATGGTATAGGCCAGGGTTTCCTGCCTGAGCAAGGGATTGGACTAGATGACCTCCAAGGTCCCTTCCAACTTTCTTCTTCTTCTTCTTCTTCTTCTTCTTCTTCTTCTTCTTCTTCTTCTTCTTCTTCTTCTTCTTCTTCTTCTTCTTCTTCTTCTTCTTCTTCTTCTNCTCCTTCTCCTTCTCCTTCTCCTTCTCCTTCTTGTCCTTCTTCTTCTTCTTCTTCTCCTTCTCCTTCTCCTTATCATTATACTTATCATCATTATTATTATTATTAAATGCCTCCCTCGGAGCCCCTGTTCCTTTTTTAACAGAATAACAGAATCAGAAGGGACCCTGGAGGTCTTCTAGTCCAACCCCCTGCTCAGGCAGGAAACCCTACAGCATTTCAGAAAAATGTCTGTCCAGTCGCTTCTTAATTATTATTTTTTTGATCTCTCCCTTGCCCCTCTGACACCCCTCCCCCAGCAATCTCTTTTGCATGGACATTTCCACTTAGGCTGGTCATCGTTATCTAGAGGAAATAATCACATCTGTTTATTTATTTGTTAAACTTAGAACCTTAGACTCGGACTCCGGTGATTACAGAGTGGTTTCCTGGACTTAACCAAAAAACAAAAAATCTCACTCTAGAAATTTTTTCAAATTATAAGGCAAATATATGGCAAGTTTCTAACAAAGGCATGGCGATGGGAACTATAATTCTGCACAGTTGGAAGATGCCAACTAAGAGCAGAGTAGAGTAGAATAATAAAATACAGAATAGAATAGAATAGAATAGAATAGAATAGAATAGAATAGAATAGAATAGAATAATAAAATACAGAATAGAATAGAATAGAATAATAGAATAGAATAGAATAATAGAACAGAACAGAACAGAACAGAACAGAACAGAATAGAATAGAATAGAATACTAAAATACAGAATAGAACAGAAGAATAGAATAGAATAGAATAGAATAGAATAATAAAATACAGAATAGAATAGAATAGAATAGAATAGAATAATAAAATACAGAATAGAATAAAATAGAGTAGAATAGAATAGAATAAATAGAATAAGTAGAATAGAATAGAATAGAATAGAATACTTTATTTAGCCACGCGTGGTTAGCCACAGAAGGAATTTCTCTGGTACAGAAACACTTTAGTGTATTTGCAAAACAACAGAGAAAATAACAATAATAATATTTTTTTCTTGTGGAATCTGTGGGCAGGACACAGATCTGCTCAGGAAAAGATCGCTCTAGCCAGTAAGCCAAGCTGCATGCTTAGCAGAAGTCTGGAATGGACAAAAATCTTTCCGCTGATCAATTAACCTGAACTGGGCAAAACCCCTGACAGGCTTCACGGCAGTTCCCCCCCCCCCCGTGAAGGTGGCTTGTGCTTTTACACCAATCTGAGGTTTGTCTACTCCTGCACCCCGTAGGGTCTCCCCCTCCCCGATGGCGCCAGACGACGGCACCGAATGGCTGCTACAGCTGCTGAGCGAAATTCAACTGGAGCAGTTTTACACCCGGATCCGAGATGAGCTTCACGTCACCCGTCCCAGCCACTTCGACTACGTCAAGCCCCTCGACCTGGACCGCATCGGCCTGGGGCGCCCAGGTGAGGCCAGGGGATTCCGCTCGGAGTTGCCATCTCTCCTAAGATTTCGCAAGTTTCTAGTCCTCTTGAGGTGCGCGGGGAAAAAAGTCGGCGAGGGCGTGCAGCAGGAAAGGAGGACGGCATAGGGGTTAAAAAAAACGGACCTGTGCCCATTTAAAATAGATACACAGGTAAATCCTCAATTTACGACCGTCATTCCTATTGCTAAACGAGACGGTTGTTAAATGAGTTTTGCCCCATTTTATGACCTTTTTGTTTTTGCCACCGTTGTTCCGTGAACCGCTTGCAGTTGTTAAGTGTTAAGTTCGCAAAAGGGGATCTCGTGACCCCTGGGGACAGTGCGGCCGTCATAAATATGAGCCGGCTGCTCAATGCCCGAATTTCGGTCACGTGTCCTGCTGCAGCGGTTGTTAAGTGTGAAAAGCGGTCATAAATCGCCTTTTTCAGGGCGGCTATAACTCTGAATGGTCGCTAAACAGTTGTGAGTTGAGGGCGCCTGTCACAGAGGCGTCTGCTCGCAGATGCCGTCTCTCATGAGGCTTCCAAAACTTCTAGTCCTCATGAGCACCCGACGGAAAAAGCCGGGGAGGGTGCCTGGTATACAAGGAGGGTGAAAGAGGCCTTCAAAAGGGACGTACCTCTGTTGAAATTGAAAATAGATTCTAAATTGATATATTCAGATAAAGAAGGAAGAATTGTAATGGTAGAAATATATCTACACACCAAAAGCAAACATAATAATAATGATGATGATGATGATGATGATGCATAATAATAATAATAATAATAATAATAATAATAATAATAATAATAATAATAATAATA